TCCATTGCCATTTCCACCTGCAATAATTTGTCCTTCTTTTGCATTATATTTCCATTCAACAATACGATGATTCCAAAGATCAGCAATGAAAATAGTTTTCTTTTTATCAATGAAGATTCCAAAAGGATGATCGAGTTGATCTAGATTTTGTCCTTGTCCATTTCCACCGACCACAGTGATGGCGCTTTGTTTCCATTCATTAAAGTTTAATCCTAGAGAATAAGGAAAACAAATGATTTTCATGAAAAGAATAAGAAAAAAACTAGTAAAAGACGATTAACAAAAGAAATTTGAACAAATGGAAATGAAAGATAATTTACGTATTATTTCATAAAAGCTTACTTTTTGATAAAAAAATTGAAATCTCATTTATAAAGGGTTGTGAATCTTCTTTAATAGAAATATTTGTTGGATTATTTAATTCTTGTGTAATTTCTATTAATTGATTTTTTAGATAATTTAAATTAATTTCATTAAAGTCATTTTCGGCATAAATTTGTTTTATTTGTTCATTTAAATCATTAAATTTCATTTCAATATCATTAACAACTGTTGGTAAATATTCAATAAGAATTTCTCTACAATCTTCTGCTTTTTGTTGAATTATTTCAATTGAATTTCTTTCCCATCGATTAATTTGTTCTAGTAATGAAAAATTTTCTGGATTTTGTTTTTGTTCATAAATTCTTTGTTTAAATTCATTATATTCATTGGTAATATGATTTAATTCATCAGTTAATATTTGTCGGTGTTCTGTTAAATGTATTAAACAAAATTCTTTTGAACATCCTTTACAAGGATATGTTATTTTTTCCTTATTGCATGTAAAACATTGTATTTTATTGTTTGCCATCTAGTTCAATATGAATTTATGGAAGAAATCTAAAAAGAATTTTATTATGACAAAATCTCACTAGTAAAACTGACGTGACATCTAAGATGGTTGGACAAAAAATGAGAGTATGTTTGTTAGTGAGTTCTCAAATAATCCACACCCACACCCACAAAACACAGGGATGAATTCGAAAAGCTCTGAATCAGTTATACTAGTGCCTGTATTAGTATATCTTTTTATCAATATCATCATTTAACTTCCATAGAATTTGTCCTTCTATTTCTGAACTATCTAATCTATACGATACTTAGTTGAATTTCTCATTGCTGATTAACTCATAGTAGAATAAAACACAAGGAATATCTTACGAATAAGAATACTCTTTTCTTCAATACCTTTGAAAATATATCATCGAAGGAAACGTTTGATAAATACCCACTAAACACACCTAAATATGAAGAAAAGAAAAACAAACAATTATAAATATGATATTTTTTCTTTTCTTGTTTTTTCTTCTTGGAAATAACCTTCGCAAACTATTTTTTTATATCATTATCATTTGTGTAGTGTAAAGTGATTTTATATGATGATTTGATAGATCTGTTTTCGTTCTATTCCTGACAAAATTTCGATGAAGAAAGGTGAAGAAAGAAAAAGAATGTACAAACATTGAATCATTATTTTTTTTGTCGTTATGAAATAAGCGTTCGTAATTAGAGAGACAAAAACAGACAATTAAGTTAAAATATTTCATATGAAAATGAATCGAAAGAAAAATAGAAGAAAAAATTCAACAAAGGATCATGAGTCATATGATAAAAAAAGAAATAGAAATAAATTGTCAATATAAGTATATAGTGGAGTGTATAGAATATATAACGATCTCTTTATAATAGAAAGCATTATCAGTTAAATGAGAAGTATAAAAACAGGTTAGTTAGGATGTTTTATAAGGATGAATAATTTCTTTTCGTCTGTCATTACTTGTATTAGTTGTTTATGCACATTCTTTATTTATTTTTGCATTCTGATTTTAGATTCCTGCTATAGACAGTTTAATGTTGAAAGATACGATTGCAAAATAATTATACGAGAAAAAGAAATCGACAAATTCCAAACAGATATAAACCAATCTCTATCCATCAGATGATGAAGTCGTTTCTTCGCTAGAAATGTTGAAAGATTCATATTAAATACAAAATATTTTATTCAGATAAATCCTATTGTCGTTTTCAGGAAAGTTTGCATTTCCTTCTTCAAACTATGATTTTCAATGTTGTTTTTTTTCTATAAAGAATAACATAAAATTTGCTTTGAAACGTTTATTTTCACATCCTTCCTCCAAATTTTAAATATCATGATTATTTCTATTGTATTAATATTTGATGATAAATGAGATTTGGCATAAGTTTATTCACAAATTAGTTTTGCAAAAAGGAAATAAATTTATTGTTCATATTTATCAGTTCTTCCAAATGTTATATTTGTTGTAAATATTTCAATAAAAAAATATTTTACATTGGCGTCGTTATGTAGGCGAATAGAAAGGAATAAAGCTTGTTGTTTTCATAATCTTTACTTTTTAGTCAGATATTGTTCAGTTTTTCTATCACTTTAACAAGTTATTTTGACAATTGAATTAGAAAGAAAAGGTAAGAGTTTATGAATAAGAACAAATAGAAATATCTCTTACCATCGTCCATAATTTTTGATTGATAAAAACATATTTTGTTTGATTATTCTAGAAGAAATATATAAAAAATAGTAAACAAATGTCAAAAATCATTTGAATATCATTCATCTAATGATTAACATAGATTAATTGGTTTTGATTTTTCTTTTTTTCAATAATTTTCATTTTTAACTTCTTGAGTAGTAGTTGATAATTTTTGCCTTCGCCTGCTATTGATTAACGAACAGATCGTACAAAATAAAACTCTCAGTTATCATCTTTGTTTCCGCAAAAAAAATAGCCAAGCTTCCTGGAGAAAAATCATGCCGCTGACTTTGTAGCCTGACTTTTTTTGTTCACAGATGGTTTGTGTTGAATCAGTTTATAATATTTTTTTCAAGTATACTTTTATTCAGAAGTCTATCATATGCAGTGAATAGCGTATATTTCATTTTCTTTTTTAATAATTGTTTTATTCACATAAAAATAATATTTATAAAATTAAACGAGATAGTGAATGACCGATAGTTATGAGCACAATAAGTGTAAGTCTAATATCGTTTTAGATGGATATGAAATTTTGACATGTAAATCTATTGTCGAAGACCAAATGGCAAGCAGAGCCAATCTGCGTGCTGCTTTTCATCGTCTCAAGCTTCAGCTTGTTCAATTGAACCTATTTGATACTGGTAGTCAAGATGAAACGATTATACGAAATGAACGTCGATCAACTCGTGTTTACTTAATTCTTTTCATTATATCAATCATGATTCTTACTCTTACCTACAGTATTATATCTTATACAACAACAATTGTTGTTCCATCTCCTACTTTAGCAGAGTACTCTAATCTGATAGAAAAACCAATATTGCAATGCTTTTGTTCGAATACGACAGTAAAATATAAAAAGTTCGCTCAGATTCAACCTCATTATCATGAATTGTGTCAAAGTGATTTTGTATCTAATGACTGGATCAAACACTTACATCTCCTATACGAACAAAGCAGGAATAAAACAGTTGTATCCGATTTTCGTCGGATAGGTGTATTTCAATTCCAAACACTTCGTTCACTCTGTCAGTTAGCAAAAGACACAATCAATCATAGTCTTCAATCATTCCAGTACACAGAATTTGTTGGATCTGAACTGGTTCCACAAAATGTGTTTGAAGTTCAGATTAATTCTTCTATTCGTGATTTCATTGATAAAATACCAAAGACATTTATGCGAACTTTACAATTTATACAAAACACAACAGCACAGAGTTTGTTTATGACTGGCGCCCCAGTTACTAGTGTTCAACCAGTCATTCTACCTGAAAAAGGGTCCGCTATTGGTATTTTACCATATCCTGGCCGCAACTACACATTTACAGATGGCTCCAGCTGCGTCTGTTCCAGTTCAACTGCCACGAATTGCATGGGTCTAGCAGTATTTGAGAATACGACTGTTTCTGGTTTTCAAACAGGTTGTTACATGTTAAGTGCATTGATGAACTCGACTCTTGAAGCATTCTACAATCAAACATTGATCGACAAGCTGCGTAATTCATCGAAAACTTTCAGAAAACTGAATTCATCCAATTCAAACGAGACAATCGATGTATTACTTAGTAAAATGTTCGTCGAAGTTTGGTTCAATACAACATCGTTTGCAGAGTATTTTGAAAATTGTGCACCGGATTCATGTTATTATACAGTATCGCAAGGTTATAATTTCTGGAATATTTTAATCATATTATTCAGTTTATTTGGTGCATTAACATCGGTATTAACATTTTTATCGCCCATTCTCGTTTTACATATATGGCCATTTACTGCCAAGTTTATTTTCCGACGACGAGCACCTGTTACAGCTGAAACTCGATCTGGTAAGTTTTCGAACATGAATTATAGAGAAAATAAGATGTCTAAATTTACGATTATTTTAGTATCGTCGATATGTACGAAAATGAGAAAATTATTTCAATTCATCAAAAAAACACTCATTAATCTGAATTTGTTCAAAAGTGTTCCGCTCTCACAAGATGAAACTATTCTTCGACAACAACGTTATCAAACTCGATTATATCTAATTGTATCATTGGCAAGTTTAATCACTCTTATATTTTTTATATCCCTGAATTCTCATCAAGTAAATGTAACTATTCAAAGTCCATCATTATCAACTTTTATTGAACTTGATAATCAATATTCGTTGACACTCAATTGTCCATGCAATCAAACAATATCAGAATATCATCACTTTATTTTTAATTTCAAACCTCAATATCATGAAATATGTTCGTCTGACTTCATTTCTCGTCGTTGGATTGATCTACATCTGATTAAACCACCAGCTGCACACTTGTATACCAATGATATTCGCTATCAATCTCCAATCCATTTTCAACTTTTATCAACACTTTGTCATGCTGCTCAACAAACAGTAGATGATCATCTTCAATCATTCAATCAAACAAAGTTCATTACCAACCAAGTTCTTAGAAATTCATCATTCCAAATACGAGTTAATTCAATTATCGACCAGTTCAAAAGGATATTACCGGAATCATATCAACGTACCATACAATTGATCACAGCAAACTCCAAAATCAATCAATTCATTGTCCCGCTCAATTCTCTTTTTAAAGACTCAGATTCAGGTGTCTCATTAGAACCTGCGACAAATGTTTTCCGGTATAAAGTTGAGAATGGATCATCGGTTATTTACCATACATGTGTGTGGTTGCTTTCGAATGAATGTGTGCTAAAAACGATTATAAACAATCACGATTTCATTGATATTATTCCAGGAATGATTCAAACTGTATTCCCTCTTCAATCTGTTCTAATGTCAACGTTAGAATGTTTCTATAATGAAACATGTCTTTCGAAAATTACGAAATTAATTGATTTGACGGTATCATCATCGAGAAACTTTTCGACACTTCGTTTATCATTATTAACCGACAACGAAAGTCAATATGATCAAATCGAGATATTAGCAAATAAACTTTTTATTCAATCATGGTCATGGACTAATAATATTTCATATGAATCTTACTTTAATCAGTGTCATCCGTTAACTTGTCAATATAGTTATGAAAGTCGATTTAGTCCTACTTACGTTATCACGACCATAGTTGGATTTTCTACAATTCTAAGTATTGTCCTCCAATTAATATTACCATTTCTCATTAAAGTGTTATTCAAAATTTGGTATAAGGTGATCAATAGGGAACGAAATAACAATGAGCAAACAACTTCCATCAGACAAAGTAAAGAAATCGATAAGGAGTCTTTCATCAGAATTTTGTAATTTATCAAAAGTGATAATCCTATGTTCGATATAATTAATAGAGCTAATAGATATACATTTTGTCATTTACCTTGCAACATTATTTCACTCCATTTCTTAGTTTTGACAATACCCTTTTCTGTATTTTTCGATAAATTTATCATTGCAAATTTTAGAATTTCATGCTGTAATGAATTATATAAGAAAGACGATAAGTGAATTCAATCTTTTTCACGCGATTCCACCATCACAAGATCCAAAAATTCTTCGTCGAAATCGTCGTTTAACACGAATCTATGTGGTTTTACTGATTATGTTCTTCTATATTCTCGCTGTTTATACCGTGTTAGCACGAGAAACCACTTCTGTTATTATCGAAAATCCATCTGTGTCTAAATATTCAGAATTATCTAATCAATATCATCGGACACTGAAATGTCCGTGCAGTAATATTGCAATAAAATATGAGAAATTCATTACTAAACTAGAGCCTCAGTATCATCCAGTTTGCTCAAGCGCTTTGATTACAACGGAGACATATAATATTACTTTGCCAGAAGGTGATCGTCCTGGGCGAGATTTTAACGATGATGTTGAACTTGGTTTTGACGAGAATGATTTTCGTCGTTGGATTTTCGAACAATTGAAGACAGTGTCACACATGTGTATACTCTCTCAAAATATCTTAAATGCATCACTGTCTTCGTGGATGCAGAAAAATTTCATTACATGAAATGTGATATCATCAACTGAATTTCTTAGTCAAACAGAAGCATTAATTAGTGAATTCAAAAGAGCAACAGCAAATGAATTCAAGCAAACATTTGACTTAATCCAAGTAACAAACTATGCAAATCAATTAGCAACAGCACAATCATCTAATTGGCAGTTTGTTTTCGATACACACCCTGATTCTTCTTCATTAAGTCACTTAACCGTACCGAAAACGTATAACGATAATAGTTGCTCATGTGCATTACAGTCGAATTGCTCGACACTCAATAGTTTTCCTTATCGCATAGCGAATCAATCGTTGAGACAAACTCTTCCAGGATTTAGTTCTGGTTGTTTGTCTCTCAATGCTCTCTTGCAGTCAAATTTCGCTTGTTTCTACAATAAAACATGTTTATATCTTATGCAAACAGCTTCGTATCACTTGAAATCTGTTCCTTTTCAAATATTCAATGTCTCGTCATTATCATCTCCAAATCAGACGATTGAAAACATTCTTGGTCAACTTTTTGTTGAAGAATGGAAAGAACAAGTATCGTTTGGGCGATATTATAACGCATGTGCTCCTCAATTTTGTCAATATTCTTATTCATCTAAATTTAATCAAGTTTATTTTATGACTACAATACTAGCAGTATTTGGTGGTTTGACAAAAGCATTACATTCCGCGGTATATTGGATAGCACTATTAGTAGTCAGAATATTGAATTGTAAAAAGGAAAATCGTGTAATACCACAATCAGATACGAACGTGATTGATGTAGATGATCATGATACTCCTGAAATAGCTATTTCAAATCTACCAGTGACAACAGTAGAAGTAATTTCATTCTATTTCACTTGATTTTTTACTATGTTCGATGATATTCTAGATCAATACAAATCTAATACAAGAACAAATCGAACCGTAAGTATAACAATATAACATTGAATTCCTAGTAGTGTGTATACTTATCTATCGTTTTACAAGATCAAAACAGGGAATAAAACGAGCAATTATGATATGTGGATGTTTGTTAGTTATTGTTGGAATAATGATCGTTTCAGTCAAGTGGTTTAAAAGTGCAAGCACCCAACATATTTTAACAACTGAATCAACAACTTTGATGGTGAACATGGTGACAAAAGAATCAACAACAATATCTACAGGTAAGTTCAGAAGCATAGGCAAAAAAGTAAGCTGATATGTGTTTGTATTGTAGAAAGTTGTTACCTAACTTTGACAACTCAATCTGAAACTTATTCAATTGGTCACGATGCACAATCACTTATTCTTCGTGATTTCAATAAAGATTCATTCTTAGATTTAGCTGTAGCAAATTATAAGAATCATACAATTAGTATTTTATTGGGCAATGGAAACGGAAAGTTTCGAGTACAAAAAGTCTATTCAACAGAAGATGAATCTTATCCAATGGGAATAACCAGTGGTGATTTCAACAATGATACATTTCTAGATATAGGTAAATATCTTTATGCTTTAATGAACAATGTTAAATAATCGTTTCACGTATTTTAGCGGTAGCATTATTGAAGCAAAACGAGATCGCTATTTTCTTTGGTGATGGATCAAACGGTTTATTTGACACTAAGCCACACATAGTCGCTGACATGAGTCCCTATACACTCAATGCAATCGAAGCTAGTGATATGAATAGTGATGGATTGACTGATTTAGTGATTACCAATCATCGTGATAAATTACTCAATCTCGATCCTTTGGCTGTTTTAGGAAATGATGGTGATGGACATTCGTACTCATATTATCCAATCTCTCAGAACGCTATTTCTAACTTCGAGTCTATTGTTATCGGTGACTTCAACAATGATGGAAAAGCAAATGACATTATCGCATACAGTTCCAAGAGTATCTTATCGATTTTTTCTGACATACAGTATGATAATTATCCGTTTGCAAGATATAAACAAGTCGAAAACAGAATTTTTGGAAAACCACAACCAATGATTCGAGGTCGATTTAATGACGATGATTTCGATGATTTGGCGCTTGTTTCGCCTCAATCTGATACATTATATGTTCTACTAGCGTATGTAAATGGAAATTTTACTCAACAGATTTATCATAGCCCGCATAATCCAGTATCTGTTGCTACAATTAATTTCAATAATGATTCAATCGATGATTTAGCTGTATTAAGTTGTAATCAAACAATAACAATATATTTGGGAACAAAACTTGGCATATTTTATGAAAACGATATCTCGTTTTATGTTGGCAAAAACAGTACCGATCAATGTTTTCGATCACTTCGAACAGCTGATATAAATCAAGATGGCAGAGATGATCTCGTTTTTATTGATGTCGGTTCACAAGCTATCCGAGTTCTCTTAGGAACAAGCTGTAAGGAACATATTTAAATGTTGTTGCTATAGTTGATTTGATTTTGCTTTTGATGTTGTGTTTATTTGAACAAAATAAAAATTATATACTGCTTTACTCAACATAAAAACTGAGTCAGAACATCTTGAGGGTGTGGGTGGGGTTTGTGTGAATTTAGGTGTTAATTACAAATAAATATAATACCTACAACCACACCCAATAGTTTTATATTAATAAATAATCATTGAGAATAATTTTATTTCTATTTGGCAATAATTAAATAAATTCATATGATGTAATTATCTAAAAAACATATTTTTATACTTTCAAACAAAATACATTTTCCCATACTTCAATGCATTCTTGAAAAATTCAGCTGAAAATATTGAAAAAACTACATTTTAGAATAGATTTCATCATACAACTTAATCATTTTTTCAATCATTCTAACGAGATGTTTTTCTTAAGAAATTCTACATTGAATTATCAATATGGATTAAAAAGTAATAAAAACATCTTCAAATTGTTTTTATTTTCATCAAATTTTAATGATAAAACAAGAATATAATGAAAAAGAAGAAAGTTCAATTCGAAAAAAGAAAAAACATTTGAAGAAAGCTTCTTATTCAAAGATTAATGCAAAGAAAATGGTGCTTTTTTTATTTGAAGAAATTGAATTAAATATTTATTTAAATTTCTATGAAAAATATAACAAATCTTTTTTAAAGTTTTATGACTGTTTTATTTTATTTGACTTTCTTGATTCAGTTTTCCTTCGATTTTTTTTTGTTTTCGTCTACATGAAGATCTTTTTAATATTTGTGTTGTTCAACAAACTTCATTTTGAGTTCGATTTTTATTATCAGTTTTTCATCAAACATTTCGTTTTTCGTCAGTTTTAAACAATTTTCAAATTTCATCAAATGAAAGAGCCAACAACATTTGATTATTTTCATCAAATAAAAATATTCAAATAGAATTTTATCAAATACAAAATCTTCTTCTCGAATGATTTCTACTTAATTTAATTCAAAGTACACAACATTTTCTCTTCTTATCTTCTGCAAAATTCAACAAAAGATGAAGAATTTAATATTTATTTGTTAAAGCTTTTTAATCAAAATTATTAAATCAAATTAAAATTTAAAGAAAAAAATTCTAAAAAATTTTTCTTTGTTCTTTATTTCAATAAAAAATTTCTTTTCTTTTTTTCAAAATCAAAATTTCATTCACAATATAATTTCGAATTTTGCAATTCGATGACCATAATCAGCAACATAAAGATTTCCTTCATCATCAAAAGATAAGCCCATGGGATTATTCAATTGATTTGATTGATTTCCTTCGCCATTTCCACCAACAACAATTTCACCTTCTTTTTTTCCTTCACACCAACGCATTACTCGATGATTCCCAACATCTGCCACATAGATTTGACCTAAATCATCAACAATTACTCCTGCAGGTTCAGACAATTGATTAAGATTCCCTCCTCTTCCATTTCCTCCAGCTACAATTGTTCCTTCTTTTGCATCTTTTCTCCATTTCATCACACGATGATTGGACAAGTCTGTTACATAAACAGATTGATCTTCATCAACAAAGATAAAAGTAGGAAGATTTAGTTGATTAAGTTGATTTCCTTTTCCATTTCCACCTGCTACTACAATTCCTTCATTGTTATATTCTCCCATTTTCCATCGTCTTACTTCATTCTTCTTATGATTAGAGACATAAAGAAATCCATTTTTATTAATTGCTAAGCCGAAACAGTGAATATTTTCAATCAGAATTTGTTGATTTTGATTCAACCATTGAATCACTCGTCCATTCCCACGATCAGCTATGATGATTGAATGATTTTGTTGATCAACTATCACATCTGTTGGTTCATTTAATTGATCCATTCGATTTCCTTCTTTATTTCCACCTGCAATGATTTGTCCTTCTGTTGCATTATATTTCCATTCAACAATTCGATGATTCATCCAATCAGCAATGAAAATAGTTTTCTTTTCGTCAATGAAGATTCCAATCGGGTAATGGAGTTGATTTAATTTTTGTCCTCCCCCATATCCACCAGCTACAATGATGGCATTTTGTTTCCATTTGTTGAATTTCGATGCTAAGAAATGATGAAAAAAAAAGACTTCGATGAAAAGAAGAAGAAGATGAAAATTTGTTTTTAATCAAAGAAAAGGAAAAAATTAGTTTTGAGATGAAATAAAAGTAAACTTTTTTCAGAAGAATGTTAAGAAAAAACATCTTTTGTTGGTTTTTTGAATAAAATGTAGTAAAATGAAATGAAGAAAGTATTTGAAAGTTATATTTTTTCGAATGAAAATTTTGAAGAAAATGCATTTTTATTGAAAGATAATTAATTTCTAAAGCAAATTGAGAAAAATCTAATTTGAAAAGAAAAGGAATGACAAGAAAAATGAAAAAAAGATTCTGCTGATTTGTTTTTTGTTAAATAAAAATTTGAAAACAAGAAATATTTTAGAACTTTTGCCAATAAAAGAAGTGATTTGAATTGAGAGTGTGATTATCTATACTCTCAATTCACACCCACACCCACATCTGTTTATAGTAAAGTGAACAAAAAATGAATACATACGTGTTTCACATCGAGGTCCAGTCCATAATGATGTACACTAAACAAACATGGAATGAAAGAGTTACCTCTGAAACACAGATGAATTTTTTAACTTACGGTGCAAGAGTTTGGTCCAGTGCATTTTCCACCATTCGAACATTGTGGAAAACAAATGGCTAAAAGATGAAATAGAAATCAAACCATCATCATTTCTTCTAATCATAAAATGGAAACTGAGATCGATTTCGGCATCAGTGATTTTGAAGAGAATGGGGTTGCGAATAGACTAACCGATTAAAAGTGAATCTGTAGAGATGTGTTCTTACAAAGCGTTTTCTCGTGAAGCACATGCAAATTGCGTGAATTATGAAGTATATGTTTGTGGTGCAATGGAGAAGCTATGGTAAATTTTCCACTGGGTACTATGACATTTAATAGAGTTATGCGCGAAACAAGCGTCAGATATAAATCATTAGGAAGTATATTTTTTGTTATCCAATGTCATTCAATATATTATTTCAATTTTTTTCTCTAAAGAGCTTCAATTATTAAAGAAAATTTATAAAAATCAGCGCCAAATCACTTAAGTTTTCCTACATATAGTAATCAAAATCATTTATGGATCAAACAACGACGATAGAGAAATACTACAAATTAAAATACGACGAGATTAAAGATAACGGAGAAAATGAAAGGGGAGATCTGGATAGTGGTCAGGGTTTTCGATTCAGAGTGAGAATGAAACACGTGGAAAGAACGGGATCCAACTATTTATTTGCAATCTGTCTAATAATAGAGGTGTGTGTACTGTTACTCAAAAGCATTGGGTTTATTGCTGTCGAATTAAGGATCTCATTGCCAAAGTCAATAACTCAAATCTTTATCATACATACTATAGACATCGGAATATACTACTGTTTACAAAATACTACGTACCATCACAAACTGCTTTATCATCAATCCAATCAGCATCACATTTTTCGCCTTTAGGCCAACTCATGATACCCGGACCCGATTTCCTGCCATTTAACCAACCACCGGTATATATTCTGCGATCCGCATATCGCATTGTACCTAATCCATGCATCTTGCTGTCAATCCAATGACCAACATAATTATCACGATTCGACCAGATCATTATGCCACGACCATTTTTTCTGTCATTCATCCAACCACCTGTATATATACTACCGTCAGCATATTGTAATGTGCCTAGCCCATTTCTCTTGTCATCGACCCAATTACCACCATATTTCTCACCGTCAAAAGAAGTTAGTACACCTAAACCCGATCTTTTGTCATTGATCCAACCACCAGTGTATATGCTGCCATCAGAATAGTTATGTGTCCCAGTACCATTTCGCTTTCCGTCAGCCCAGTTCCCTTCATATCTGCCACCATCTGAGAAAACGAAGACGCCTGAAACCTGCCGTGTACTATCAATCCAGGAGGCTGTGTATGTTCGATTGTCGGTGTAGTTTTGCCCATCATGGTCAGTGAACACAACTACAGACGAATTGTTATCATCGTTGACATCGTCTCTGTAGACTGTGTTGTTGACAAACTGATATATGCTGGTACTGTTGGTTTCCTCTTAAACAAATCACAATCGTAGATAGAAAATGGTGAGCAAGAACTTTATATCTTATATTCTGAAGCTTATGAATGAAGTACAGACTCAATAAAAAAATAAAATATCTCCAGTGGAAAAAAGTTCTGAGACATACTTAAAAATCTATCAATAGAATTCTACGGTCTCTACATCCTCCTTCAGCTGTAATACATTCATATATTCTCTATGATATCAAAAATACACAGTTTTCACATAATTCAGGTTTAATTGTCAACTACTCCGCTGATATTTCAGTTTCTTATCGATAATCAACTGCAAATTTTCAATAGGATGTGAGGGTGTGGGTGTATGTATTGTGCTTATCTCTGATCTACACCCTCAAGCTACTACCAGTGTTCGATTTTACATTTGGAAAAGATTTTTCTGTTAAGAACGAAGTATCGATTGTTAAATAAACTATATGCGAATTTTCTATGGGGAAATTTTGATTTTAATATGTAATCTTTTGGTGTTCTGTACAGTTTTATAACTTATACAAAATAACAATATCACAGAAATGTAAAAAACTTATAGATGAAATTTTATCTTGGCATGGTTTTCACAGAAGATAATCATCAAAAATATTGCTGGTTAATTATAAGACAATTACAGTTTTATATGAATAAAAAAATATATACCGTCAATGAAATGAAATGTAACAATATATACCGTTTGTATGACTTGCTACTGTATTTATGTATAAGTTAATCATTCTAGAGATTTTATTGTTAGAAAAAATCTCCTCGACAGTTTTGCGATGATATTACTACATTAGAAGGAACTATATGTTTGGCACCGATCATCTTAAGATTTGTAAGAAGAGAGAAAGAGAAATTTTTCTATTATGTACGAAGAGTTTTGATTCATCCTATAATGATCAGTAGTACAACCTACCATATTCGTCGAATGCTCGTCCGTTGACTTGACTAAAAAATGATACTTCCAGTAACAGTATGACACAACAAAGCAGGAGCTTCGTTTGTATTCCAAATATATTCATGTAGAAATAATACTTCTTCAAAACAATTATATCAAATGAATAATACAAGTCTTAGCATCTTAGCATTGTATATATATGTATATACAGATTATCTTGATGTGCGATGAAAATATTTACTGTCATCGAAAAATAACGCCAAGTATAAATTATTTGATATGGATTTGTTAAAATATACATTAGACTGGAGATACGCTGTTATTGATGACACCAAATTTTTGTTCTGTTCTGTCTTCAATATGTCGTCGAACCATTTTACCCAGTCAATATTTTTTTGGTTGCATGATGAAAGCCTTGATTAATCATGATAATAATGTAGAAAAAGTGTCGTTCTATTTCTTGCACATAATACTTGGTCTGAGACTTTTGTTAGAAGTAGAGAAGATCAATATTTACTTGTGCAAACAATCAATCATAAGTCGAAAAATAACAATAGTTTCGACATATTCTTTTAAAATAATCAAAGAAATGCAAAGTTCGTTTCGTGTTAATTATTTGATATTTTAAAAACTCATTAGGATTCTGTATTACAATAAAAAAATCGCGTAAGAAAAAGAAAAGAAATTTGAAATCTAATTTTCGTTATTATTATGTATTTTTGATGTTTCATCATCCATCTTTGTTGGAGATATTGAACTATATAAATGATCTAACAATAATAATAATTGATTTTCTTCTATTTGTCAGACATAGAATTGATGTATTTTGTTGATGTTTCATTATTATAAAGGAAAGATAATTTAAAAACTATATATTACTCAATGGAATAATTATAAAATATCGATTTCCATCAAGATCTTTAAGATCCACATGTATAATTCCATCATTTGAGGATGAGGGTTTCAAAGATATATGTAATATCTATACCTTCGCTCTTACTCTGTAAAAAAGAAGTATTATGTATTCTGAATAGAAATCTTGTTTTTATTTTATGAAACCAACTAAAAATATTTATATTATTGTGATACAAAAAGAATTTCATTCGTCTATATAATAATTTTACTTTCAATGAAGAAGATCATTTTTCACGTTTTACATGTCACAACAACATATCATTATCATTACTTCGTACAAATAAAAAAATTCTTTATTGATAGAATTGAGTGCATTGTTAATTATCCAGATGAATAAATCCAATGAACACCTATTTTCGGTTCTTTAGGGTGTGGGTGGATGTGTGTAGAGAAAGGATTCACACCCTCAAAACAAAAAAGGTGTTGCATTTCTTGATTTGAAGGAACTGAATTAAATATGATAAAACATTTATTAAATATTTATTTCAATTTCTATGAAATATATAACAAATCTTTTTCAAACTTTTATTAAGAGAAATCAAATAAGAAAAAAAATTCGTTTATCAATACTCTTTGAAATTTAAAATCAAATTTGAATTTTGTATCATTTCAAAAGTTTTATTACTGTTTTATTTTATTTCGATTTATTGATTCATTTTTCTCTCGAAATTTGTTTTTTATTTTTAAGTTTTCATAAAAGATCCCTTTTCTCTTCATTTTCAAACAATTTTTAAATTTTATCAAATCAAGGTATTAAAACAGAATTTTATCAAACACAAAATCTTCTTCTCGAATAATCTCTATTTAATTTAATTCAAAGTACACAACATTTTCTCTTCTTATCTTCTGCAAAATTCAACAAAAGATGAAGAGTTTAATATTTATTTGTTAGAGCTTTTTAATTAAAACTATCAAATCAAATTAAATCTTAAAGAAAAAAATATTAAAAGATTTTTCGTCAATCTTTTTTATCCAATAAAAAACTTTTTTTCTTTTTCTCAAAATCATAATTTCATTCACAATATAATTTCAAATTTTGCAATTCGATGATTTCCCGAATCAGCAACATAAAGATTTCCTTCATCATCAAAAGATAAATCACGGGGATAATGCAACTGATTTGATTGAACTCCTTCACCATTTCCACCAATAACAATTTCACCATCTTCTTTTCCTTCACACCAACGCATTACTCGATGATTCCAGTGATCTACCACATAGATTTGACCCAAATCATCAACAATTACTCCTTCAGGATAAGACAATTGATTAAGATTTTCTCCTCTATCATTTCCTCCAGCCACAATTCTTCCTTCTTTCGCATCTTTTCTCCATTTCATCACACGATGATTGTTAAAATCTGATACATAAACAGATTGATCATCATCAACAAAGATAAAACTAGGATAATTGAATTGATTAAGTTGATTTCCTTTTCCATTTCCACCTGCCACTACAATTCCATTATTGTTGTATTCTCCCATTTTCCATCGTCTCACTTCATTCTTGTTCCAATCAGAAACATAAAGAAATCCATTTTTATCCATTGTCAAGCCCACACAGCCAATATTCTGAATGAGAATTTGTTGGCTTTGATTCAACCATCGAATCACTCGTCTGTTCACATAATCAGCAATGATGATCGAATTATTTTGTTGATCAACAACCACATCTGTTAGTTGATCCAATTGATCTGTTCGATTTCCTTCCCCATTTCCACCTGCAGTGGTTTGTCCTTCTTTTGCATTATACTTCCATTCAATAATACGATGATTCCAAAGATCAGCAATGAAAATATTTTTCTTTTTATCAATGAAGATTCCAGAAGGGTAATGAAGTTGATTTAATTTTTGTCCTTTTCCATTTCCACCAGCTACAGTGATGGCATTTTGTTTCCACTGACTCAATTTTGATACTAGAAAATGATGAAAAAAAATATTCTGATGAAAAAAAGAAGAAAAAGAAAAGTTGTTTTTCATCGCATGAAAAAGGAGAAAATCAATTTTCATTGAAACTTTGATTTTGTTCTTGTCAAAGTTGAACTTTGAATTCAATGTTGATGAATATGTGTAATGAAAAGACAAATTTTGTTTGATTTGTATATTCAAATTTGAAAAAAATTTGTTGACAAAAAAACATAAATTATTTGAAGTTTTTTATTTGGAAAATAAAAATAAATTCTTTTGAAAACTATTTTGAGGGTGTAGGTGTGGGTGATTCTTCTAATATACCCTCGCCTCAAAATTCCCAAAAATAGAACACAATAGTTCTGTTATAGAAATGATATTCTCAGGTACTGAGTACTTTTATTCTATTTTGAGAGTGTTACTTTTAGGTGCTGAGTACTACTATTTTGTTTTGGAAATAGCACTTCCCATTTCGTAACAGATTTGTCCTGTATTTAATTATTCAATTTTTCTGGACGACTATATAATTTCAAATATTATCAAGTAAAATACGAATGTGTAAGTAAGCTAAACATCTGGAATTCACGTGTGGAGCTTATATTTTTTGGATCCAAGAAATATGTCAACTCTTATTTTTTTTCTTTTACAACGAAACTTTACCATTCTTTGTTATTGTATGAGAATCAGTCGACGTTGTAAGTATTGTTGTTTCTGTTGTTGACGTTGTAAGAATCGCTGTTCCTGTTGTCGATGCATCAATTGTAGCTGTAGTTGTAGTAATTATTGTTTTGTTTTTTTTAATGAAAACAGCCCATATTGTAGTACTAATGATAGTTATTAAGATAAAAACGGCAATGATAATTAAAAGCAATATTGGTTTCCGATGAAATAAAGATCTAAAATCATAGATATATTTCGAATAAATAAACCAAATACTTACGATCCTGTTTCTTGACGAGTAGATTGTTTAATATTGCTTTTGTTCCCTGGTCCAGCCTAAATATTAAAAAAATTTATTCATTTAGAATTCTTTAAAAAATGTGGTTTGTTCTCGTAACTAACCATTGAATATGTTCAATTTGTTAATCTTTTCTCGAATAACAATGAAGAAAAATGAATCTCTCCCAGAAATATTTTATTTCGAGAATGAATATTTCTTCATAAATATTCCTCAATGTATTTTATCTATTTTTAAAATTTATCTTATGTCGAATAAAGATAAGAATATGTTTAACAGTTTTTTTTAATCCTGTGTGAAAATTGTCAGAAAAAAAAGTGAAATAAACAACAATGCGTGGTTTGATCTTAATTATATATTTTTATGTTGCTATAAATAAAAACTCAACTTGAATGAATCATGTCTACGTAGAATATTTTAGTTTGAGATGATATTAAAAGTAATGCAACGATTTATGATGATTTTGATTTTCTTATCGATGAGAATAAATTTATTGAAGAAACGATTTGTTAGTAACAAGTATTAGTGAACGTGAAATGTATTGACACTATTTAAAGTTTGTTTTACGTAAAGAAAAAATATCTAATATTTATTTCTGTTTATTGAGATAAGATTTCTTCCGTTGTTTTTAACGGAAAAACACTCAAAAAGCTCTTCTTACGTATTCTTTACATTTGTCTTTCATACAATGAAAATAATTCTTTCAGATCTTTCTTTCTAAAATAGTTATTCCATTTCGTAACTTTTTCTGACACACTTATGCACACAAGAAATCTACTTTTCTGGCTGAAACTCAAATAAAACAGAACTAAAAGTGCTGATCTAGCATTAGTATTAAACTAATTTTAATATTAAACCGGCACTCCTAAACACAACACCACTTACTTTGTGTTCTGATGATGCATCATATGCAGTCGCTCGTTTTGCAGCCATCTCTATATCTCCTTCTTCGTTTTGAACAATAAGAAGTTTTTTATATTCCATGTTTTGGTAATTAGATTTAGGTAACTTCCCAGGCGTTGGCTGTGATAATAGTGTAATTGTTACTTTTTTTTGTTGATGATGTTGATTGTGGTTCTGAAAAGATGCAATCAATTAAGAACAAATATTAGAAGTGCACTACTGATGAAAAAACGGTAATTATGTTATAGAAATCGTGTGATAGGATTGCCTTCACTTGAATTTGCGAAAAGAAAACATTGTGAAGTTATCACTGTAAAATCTATTTGACTAAGGAATTTTTTCGACCCAAGCCACAAATATGAATACGCTTTTAAAATGCTTCATTTTGCACACTCAAAATTAAGAGTACCATTGATTGTAACCGTAAGTGCACTTAGAATTGTGAAGTCACTTAAAGTATAACATTTCTTGTACAAAGAACATGAGCTTTAGGTAAGTAAATTCTAAATTGGAAAATATGTTTTCTTTTAAAACTGAATGTGAGTATGGCTGTTGTAAAAATACGCGTAATCGCATCTGCCCACATCCACCCTCAAATACAAACTTTTATTATCTCAATTGCGAGAACTATGGAGGTTAGTGATACCTGATCGCGCTTTGACTGATTTATCTAGCTATGAATTGACGGATAACTGACAGTCATAATTCAAATAAAGTCGAATAATTAAATTTATATAATCCTCTCAAACATGGTACAGACCTTCTTCTTTTTTTACAGGTCTTCTATATATTAAAACTTCTCTGCTGACTCTTATGAAATAATTTCCATACCTTTGATTGTGTATTAGTATGTTGTCTTTATTTTGAAAAAAATGAAAAGCTAAACTGTAACCATCTTCTTATATATAGTTCTGTTTTCTTTTTATTTTACTTCCGAAATTGGTATAGCTTGTTTTTTTCCTACTTTATCACAGTTATCTATTACATTTCATTTATAACAAGAAAGAAGAAGAAGACCTTTTAATAATAGCTAGGATGGATTACAATAAGACAATTTAAAAAGTTATCTTTTAACATGTAATATGATATTGATCATGAAATGAGAAAAAACAAAACTCAACAATAATTCATCGAAATCTATCCCTATCCAGGGTAAACTAAACATACATATAACACTTGTTACATGATGTATAGTCAATTTCAGCATATTCTTATTCTACTATGTAATAGAAAATAATAAGAAACTGGAGAAATATGGTTACCAGTACTCTCCGTGTTGATGCATTGATTCATTAATATGATTCTTATTATAACAACACATGGAACAATATGCACCATTATGCTAACATCTAGTTTTGGCTACTTCCAACTAATTTCAGCATTAAACCATCTTGTGGGTGTGGGTATGGACGTAGATTAAAAGAAGATGAATACACTCACACTCACACCTTCAAAATGTATATTTGATTTTACGATCAAATGACAATATGGATTTTAAACAAAAATAAATAACAAAGGAAGTTATTGAACTTTTGTTGATTTTACCCGAGAAGACAACATTCATGTTTTTTATGCATCATTTTATATCAATAAAACAATCTTAACAATAACGTTGCTTGCAGTTGCTATCTCGATTCTGTCATTTTCTAGCTGATATCATTCTTTTTCATTTTTTTTTCTTTCAACAAAGTTATTACAACATCGTGTGAAATATATGATACAAAACAAATATTCACTCATTTTATGATAAAGAGAGAGAGAACAGTATATATAACTAACATATAAGGCTACGAAGCACACCTTTCTTCAACAATCTACAATGTCAAATCAAACAGTCACCAATTTCGTTACATTACCGGTAGAACTTGTCTACCGAATTCTGGAAAAGCAATCGGATCTTACGATCCTATGCTCCATGAGAAGCGTATGCAAACGATTCGATGCGATCGTAGACAGTTATCACCGATATCAGGTAAACGTTTTGCTACTATGATGGCCTAGTTTCTATCCATTGACTCTCGAGTTATTTTTTATTCCTACAATCTCTATGCAAGTACAAAAACTTCAATAAAATATACGTGACATTTTTCCGCAAAAATTCACTTCTTATATTATGAGAATATGAAAAATAGTGTTCTGATAATGAGAGAAACCAGTTCCTTTTTTTAATTCAATTTCATCTAAATATACCACGTTTTAAATATGGTATGATGTCGTAAACATACACTGTTTAGATAAGAACAAAAAAAAGAGATAAAAAATTATTATTTACGTTTTACCTGTATGCAAGCACCTTTTTTAAAAAATACTATTTCGATATTGAAAATCTGCTCTTGACAGAAATTAACCTTTGATAAACTAGTTTATCTTGTTTTAAATAACGTCCTCGATACTTCCTTGAGAAAAACTTCCCACAAATACTGCTTCAAGAGCATGCGCGATCGAGGTTGCCGGTGGTTGTGGATGATACAGAGAAAATTGACTCACAAAAACATTCACATTCTCATCCGATCAAAAACCTCAAACTCATACTACCACGATGAAATATCTCTTCAAAGAGTACTTTTTCTAAAGCAATTTTTTTACCAAAAAAGCTTACACAGAAACGGATTTCATTAGAAGCATGATTTATCAAAGATGGTATTTCGAGAATAATTCGTCGGCGCTAGTTTCTTATATGACGTTTCAGCATGCATTCACCCACTTCTCATAATGAGTCTAACATTACGGAATAAATTATTTAATTTATTTTTTACTTTTTATAAATGAATGTAGTTTCATGAATATACCTGTATATTTGCATCGAAAGTAACTGTCGAAATTAATATATATATTATCACTTATATAAATTATACACACCAATAACACCACGTTCAATAACTCAAACAGAGTTCTGATGTAAGACACATGTCGAGTCTGAATAATGAATGTAAAGAAAGCTGTCCAATAATTACCGATAAGAAACTACATTTCGTCATACTTACAGAATACTAACAAGCGCTACATCATACTTTACTACGTTCTAAACCATGCACTGCAAGACATTGTCGTTCGGATACATAACACTATTCTTCGCAATTGTTTTCCGAGAAATAGCGAACCAGTTACTTTTCATTAATCGAAATGTATTTCCTTCTTTCGCGAACATTCACAAACTAAAGCGGCACACAGATTAAAACTTCCTAGTCCTAGTTCAACCTTCGTAACTTATTTTTAGTCTAGATCTTCAAAGAACACGAATGCACACTGTGTAGCATAAAAAATCATATAAAAGTTCCTACTTGTATCCATACGAGCAACACACCCGTTAGAACAACATTAATTTCACTGTTCTAACCGCATTTAATAGCGACCAACTATTCTGTCTCTTCATTTGTACCATATCTTTACCTCCCCTTTTTCATATAGACACTTACTACGCTCGATCTCAGTACGAAACAGATCCTAGATATTGAAGCACAACTTCTGGGTGACGCATTACAACGCAACACAGTAACTCTCATTCACTTTTTATTTATGTCATGTCTTTATATGAACTTTTCATATAGACACTCACCACAATCAACCTTAGTTGGAATAAAATCGGTGATAAAGTAGCCCAACATCTTGCAAATGCTCTACAAATCAACAAAGTAACAACACCACTTGTTCTTCTTCCTCTTCGCTTTACTTCATCACTCACACACTTTTCATACAGACACTCACCACGCTCGACCTCGAATCGAATAAAATCGGTGATAAAGGAGCACAATATATTGCCAATGCTCTACAAATCAACAAAGTAATAATAATACTTGTTCTTCTTCACTTCACTTCTTCACTCATACACTTCTTACACAGACACTCACCACACTCAGTCTTTTTAGGAATGAAATCGGTGTTCAAGGAGCACAATATCTTGCCGATGCTCTACGAATCAACAAAGTAATAACAATACTTGCTCTTCTTCCTCTTCACTTTATTTTATCATTCACACACTTTTCACATAGACACTCTCCACATTCAACCTTGCATGCAATCACATCGGTGCTCAAGGAGCAAGAGATCTTGCCAATGCTCTAAAAATCAACAAAGTAACAACTATACCTATTCTCCTTCTTTCTCTTCACTTCGTCATTCACACACATTTCACACAGAAACTCACCACACTCAATCTCGCAGGCAATTATATCGATGCTAAAGGAGCACAAGACCTTACTAATGCCCTTCAAATCAACGAAGTAACAGCAATACTTGTTCTACTACTTCATCTTCACTGCACTTTATCATTCACACACTTTTCACATAGACTCTCACCACACTCAACCTGTGGTCTAATGAAATCGGTGCTAAAGGAGCAAGAGATCTTGCTAATGCTCTTCAAATCAACGAAGTAACAGCAATACTTATTCTTCTTCCTCTTCACTTTACATCAATATCCACACACTTTTCACACAGACACTCACTACACTCAACCTTGAAGGCAATGAAATCGGTGATCAAGGAGCACAAGATCTTGCTAATGCTCTACAAATTAATAAAGTAACAACAATATTTGTTCTTCTTCTTCTTCACTTCACTTCTTCATTCACACACTTTTCACACAGACACTCACCACATTCAACCTGAAAGAAAATGAAATCGGTGATCAGGGAGCACAAGATCTTGCCAATGCTCTCCAAATTAATAAAGTAACAACAATAATTTTTCTACTTCCTCATCACTTCACTTCATTATTTACACACTTTTCACACAGACACTCACCATACTTAACGTCGGCTACAATCAAATCGGTGCTAAAGGTGCACAACATCTCGCCAATGCTCTCGAAATCAACAAGGTAACAACAATACTTTTTCTTCTTCATCTTCAGTTCATCATTCACACACGTTTCACTTAGACACTCACCACACTCAACCTCCAGATCAATATAATCGGTGATCAAGGAGCACAAGATCTTGCCAATGCTCTACAAATAAACACGGTAATAACAATAACTGTTCTTTTTCCTCTTCACTTCACTTCGTCATTCACGCACTTTTCGCACAGACACTCATTGCACTGGACCTCGGACGCAATAAAATCGGTGATCAAGGAGCACAATATCTTGCCAATGCTCTACAAATCAACAAAGTAACACCAGTACTTGTTCTTCTATCTCTTCACTTTACTTCGTCATTATTTCACACAGACACTCACATGGCTCAGCTTGTTTGACAATCATATCGATCATGATACAATGAAACAACTTGAAAAAATATGCCAAAAAAATACAGGACTGAAAATAATTTTTTGATGAAAATCATTAGTAACGGTAGCAACTACAAATAAGAATGCTTTTACTTTTAATGTTTATAAGATTTTATATCGGTTCAACAAATATATGTGATACTTTGTAAAAACAGGAGTTTTTTTCTTGTGTCCATAGTTAGCAGAGACTTCAGAGCTGTGGTGATTATTGAAAGTGTAGCAGGTAAAACTTGATCGAAAGCGTAATTTTTGTTGCGATATTATTTGAATCACTGGTTGTTGGCTATCTCGTAGCAGTTCGTTATCGTGAGGGATTGAGAGAGAAAGGATTTTCATGAAATAATTCGCATGTTTTTATCGTAGCATTTTAATAAAAAAGGTATTTTTCCATTGACACACTGATCATATCTAAAGGAAGAAATATCCATTGCTATTTTCACTGTGATGGCCGTGAGATTGTTTCCGTAGCATTTGTTTCATTTAGAAGTGCTAGTAGATATCAGTGAGGCGAATACATTTCAAAACGTGCAAGCCTGGAATATGTTAGTGGCAAGTCGACAGTATATCAGTGCCTGTTTATTCGAAATAAAGGACTCTCACGCAATATTTTATGTAGGAAAAATTGATTAGGTATTTGAATATCTGAAGATTTTAAAATCTATACACCTAACTTTTTTGATGCAATTAATTTTCGAGTAACTGGATTTTTGTATCCTTCCGATATTGACGAGTAGAAGTTTGTACCACAATATTTCGAAAAGTATACATTGAATTCCTGTTAAATGTTCTGGAGTTACAGATGACTACTAGATTAATCCGTACAGGGACTGTATATCCGAACTCTTGGTTTGAAGTGATGTTATAAGAAAAGTAATATTTTGAGTACAAATTCAAGCAAACGACTAGAATTCCTGAGTCATATGTCGTAAACATAAGCAAATATGAAGTTTTCTTTTTCGAAGAATGGTTTACTTAAAATTAAATAGAAGAAGCCGAACAATTGGGAATGATAGACATACTCTCTTCATGCTATGTAGCTTCTAGTACTATAATCCCAATGAACATGATTTTTACCTTAAATAAAACTGAGCATTCAGTTCTCCATACAAGGAACTCGACTGATATTTTAATACATCATTGAGTATTATTGTACACATATTGAATTATTTTATTTTAGAGTTCTACAATACTTTACGTATATCACAGAGATTCTATTTTTAAAGAGTGAGAAGTATGTAGACAAACTAATTTGTTATTTTTGTCTTCAAAACGAATAATACACGGATACCATAAATAATTTTCAATTCGATAAAAATTTTAGTTTATTTGATCAAAGTTTAACTGAAGAGGGATTAGTAATATATATATTCATGAATATTTGGTTTTATTATGATGCATTTTAAAAGCACTATGAGAATTCCTGTCCAAGATTGAATGATGATTCATTTTCTACAGTATCTTGTATGAGGTTGTTTAATCTTGATGAAAAATATAAAAGCGCATTCGTAGATCTACAAAACTGCCACTTCCTTTGGATATGAATTCTTCTTTTAATAAGAATCTTATTATTTCTAGTCAAATAACAAAAAACTAAAGAAGTAAAATCGATAAAAGATGACACTTATAAACATTGAATTATTCTAATAAATATAATTATTTGTCGTGAGAACAGTGAAACGATAAAAGTTCGCGAGGACGAACAAAAGTAAATGGAAATGAAGGATTATACGATCAAATTTTACTGTCATTCATAGTCACACCTAGATCATCACATATACTATGACTTCAAGAGCTTTTTACTTGAAAATGATTAGTTCTCTCATTCTGAAATCCCTTAAGTATAAAAGAATTTGAGTTTTTCGAACAGCTGCTCGAGAACATTCGCAATCAATTTTTTTTTCCTTCTTAAGTCATATACTTATTGATTACGAGATGTGTATCGAAAGATACTAGATAAAGTAATGTACTCAAACAGAATAAGATTTTTAATAAAAATTTTTTATTGTTATTTGGAATAAAAAAACAATTATTGATATTACTAATCTTGACAAGAAAATAGAATTTATGCATTTGTATGTTTATGACAATTACATCGTCGAAGATTTATTATATATTTTGCGATAAAATACTTTCTTCTAGTTAATAAAGAAATTTAATGTTATTTATCGTTTCTTATTTTTATATAAAAAAAAAGAACATTTGAATAATCAATTGACTCTACCAGATGTTCTCGAAAAATAATTGCAAAAATCCAGATATATCGATTATAACTCACATAAATATTCAACGAACAGGACATAGAGAGACAAACTGAAGTTAAAATTCTTGATAATATACTGTAAATGGAAAAATGATCGAGTCTTGTAGATTTGTTTATTTTCTAGAATAATAATTAATTAATCAATAAAACTCCATATTCTTTCTTTCAATGTTCTTGATCTCGGAAATTCCAGACAGTCAACAAGAACATTCTTAATATTGTTTAATCAATCATACAAAAGTTATCAGTTGTTTTTGTAGTCTCAAGAATTCTTAGTCAAAAACTAATGATTAATTGCAATGTCATACAGTTCAAATCAATAATCTAAAGTATCAAATGTATATGTATATATATAGACAACTAATTGAATTGTTTCGTATTTAAACATAAAAATTAGTAGTATCATTTTTTTTCAACATAGAATGATTAATCTTTGTTTCAACTTTCTTGTCTTTCAACAAACACTTTGACATTATAGATGATACATATACAAAACGAAGATAAACTCTTCTATGATGCATATATGGAAAAATTGTGTTATTGTATTTAGAATATTGTTATTCTAACTTCAAACAATTTTCTCTGTCTCTTCAGATTTCTGAATCGATAATTATATAAGAGCTGATCCGTAATAGTAGTAGAAACACATTAGAAAATGTATTATTATTAATTTTATTCTTTTCACATATATATATATGGATATTAACTATGTATAACAAAGTGATACACTTAATCTAATTGTTGCCTTAGAAATTATTTCTAAAGATAATCAATCATCCTTTTACGATTCAAACATCTGATGTAAATCTAATTTCCTAGCCTTTTACAAAGAGTGCAAGCAATATATATATTGGTTTATCACATGAATACACAAATACGATTGATAGATACAAAAAGAAGAAAACAGAAAAATACAATTGCCTATGTTTGTTCTCTAAAATAATAAATAGAAGACAAATATCAATGACATTCGAGCATTTCTCTTGAGGATATACGCATATTATAGTACAAAAGTGAGTTTTTCTTTGTATACAATACGGAAACATACATTATTAGCAATTAATTGTAAATGTATATACATAATTGTACCATCTATCTTTTCAAATAATCATCTAACTATGATGATAGTCTTTTATTTGTTTTCAATGGATTGAGTTTTGATAGGATAATAATGGATAGCAATAGAAACAACGGGTGGTATAGAAGTCATTCATCTCTCTTAACATAACTTTTAACTAGATTGTGTTGTCAATTATAATCTTACAACCACCCGAAGAGATACAACATCATGAAGAATAAATATTATGATCTAAATTGAAAAATTAGAACAAAAAAATAGATTTATATCTTAGGATGACTATTGAATACAGGTTTTACATTCTATTATCGATAGAACCAATATATTCGATTAATACTTGAAAGGGCAAACAGTCATATAAATAGATGTCAAAAAGAGAAAAATTAGCTTTTTTTCTGTCTGCCTTCAAACATCAACATTATAAGCAATAGTAATGGAAGTATATCTGACATCGGTTCTTGTTCTTCTTCTTTTTTTGTTATTTTTATTTATCAAGAGAAGAAAAAACAGACAAGAAACGAAGTACTTCCGACAAATAGAATACCAATAGTTAGAAAAACCGAAGAATTATTCATTCATCTGATATCCTACTCAATATGTATACATATAGGAATGGCAAATAGAAATAGACAAAGAGAAACAACAGGAGAAGAAATAAACGGAAAGAAAAATTAGTTAATATATTATGATGATGATGGTTCGATGCCGCGCCTTGTATATATAACGAAGAGTGTACGACAACATTTTTTCTTCTTCTTCTTCTTCTGCTGCTCTTTTTTTTATCCCATTTCTTGTCATATTTATTCGTTCGTTCGTTTGATGACGTAAGTCAATATGTTGATATGAAAAAGGCAAGACGATGCGACAACGATAATAACAACACTAGCAATAACATTTCTACCATCACGACAATTTTACGATCTCATCAGTGCAAATCAACGAGATTAGAATAAAAACCTTGTTGTTTTTTTTTTTACATCATTGATCATTCCCATATGTTGACGATCAATAAAAAATGACAACTCAATCAATGCATGATTTGCGACTTGCACTACGTGAAAGTACACAAAAATTAGAAGATACAGAAAATATTTTAAATAAATTACGTAATGATTATGAAAATCAATTACGTAAAAAAGATGATGTTATTTCAATGAAAGAATTAATTATTAAAGAAAAAGATGCATATATATTAAAACTTGAAGAAGAAATATCCAAACATGATCCAACATTTATTTCATATACCAATGGAATTGATATTATATCATCACCAAGACCATCATTACTTGATGTATCATCACCAAAACCACGTATAAAACGTACAGCTATTAGTGCTGAATCAGCTCAACAAAAGAAATCCAAAGATTTACGAGTTGCACTACAAGTATTTGACAAATCTTATCGGTAAGACCTTGAGGTCAATACGAACCTAAACTATATAGCAGACATTTGTCATACAAAACATTGTTCGCTTGGATAATTATTGAGATAAATATAGACATTAAACAGAAATACAGACATAATGAAAAAAATATTTCAAGAATTTAACCTATATTTCAATAGATGAATTTGTTTTTTTTTCTTTTTCTTCTTCATTAGAACCAAAGAATTTTTACGTGATGCATTATTAAATAATGATTTCATGAAAAATCTTGAAATGAATCAAATTATGTCTATTGTTGATTGTATGTATCCATTAGAGCATAAGGATGGTAGTTTAATTATCAAAGAAGGTGATGTGGGAAATCTTGTTTATATCCTTGAAGGTAAATAGATTAAGAAATAGATCATATATTTTTAAATATTATCTATTTTGTTATAGAGGGAACGGTTGAAGTGAGTAAACTTAATAAAGTATTAACAACAATGGGTCCAGGACGAGTATTTGGTGAATTAGCTATTTTATATAATTGTACACGAACTGCTTCAATTAAAGGTACGAAAAATATCTAGAATATTAAAAAAATATATATATATAATTTTATTCATTAGCTTTATCAAATTGTAAATTATGGGCAGTTGACCGTCAGACATTTCAAGCTATAATGATGAAAGCTGGTATGCAAAAACAAGCTGAACATCTTGAACTTATGAAAAAGTAAAATTAATTTTCATTGATGTTTATATTTCTCTTCTTTTTTCTTAGTATTAAGAGTTTTGAAAAATTACGTGAAGATATTCTTAGTAAGATTGCTGATGTATTAGATGAAGTTAGTTATGCTGATGGTGAATGTATTGTAAGACAAGGTGCAAAAGGTGATACATTCTATATTATTGCTAAAGGTAAGAATTTCTTATTCATATATTCTATAGAAATATTATTTGTTTTGATAAGGCCGAGCTCGAATTACTGAAGCAAAATCTAAATGGGATGCACCTATTAATATTCGACATCTTGAACGTGGAGAATCATTTGGTGAACTTGCATTACAATCGTAAGTTTTGTTAAATCTAATAGACTGTAATCAGACATATCATTTTACACATGACTTTAAAAAGAAATATGTGTTAACTGTACTAATTACTTTCCCGAAAGTCATTTGTATATTTCCTGTAGAAGAAAAAAAGAACATCTAACTCGACTATTAATCGTTTATTAATGATACAATCTGTCCTTTTTTATAATACTATGATGTTTATTATCGTAATATTATTAAAACTACCTTGCACTGAAGGCCTATGTCTATACTAACTAGATAACTTCAAATTGTCCAGATTATATGATACATATATACATATACTATGGTAAGAATAAGACGAAGAATTTCTTGCATTTGAAGTATTAAGTCATATAGTACTATATTTCGATATAGAATACGGATGTTTAACATTCTTTCAATGTGTCTGTAAATAGAAATTGTTAAATGTTATTTATTTTTTTGTTTTTAGAGAAGAAACTCGACCATTTAATGTTATAGCTGATGATCCAAATGGTGTTACATGTCTTGTACTCGATCGACAAAATTATCGCGAAATGATAGCCAATGAATTATCTCGATTGAAACGAGAAGAATCATTTAAATGTGCACGTCGAAAGTAATTTTATACTAATTATATATATATATATTTCATATATCGTTTTTCTTAGTGTTGGCGATGAACGAGATTTGAAAAATCTACGTTTGGCTGATATTGAAATAATTTGCACATTAGGTGTAGGAGGTTTTGGCCGAGTTGAATTGGTAAATATTTTAATAAAAAAAATAATTTATATTCTTTTCCTATAATAGATACAAGATACACGAAATTCAAATAAATATAGTCTTAAACAAATGAAAAAACAACATATTGTTGCGTTAAAACAACAAGAACATGTTATGAATGAACGAACTATTATGTTAGAAACTCGATGTGATTTTATTGTTAGGTATGAATTTTTATACAAAAAAAACAATTAAAACAAACTTTCGTTTAAATTAGATTGTATAAAACATTTAAAGATCGAAAATATTTATATATGCTATTTGAATGTTGTTTGGGCGGCGAATTATGGACATTATTACGAAATCGAGGAATATTTGAAGAACCGGAAGTTCGATTTTATAGTGCTTGCGTTATTGAAGCATTTGCCTATTTACATAGTCGAGGTATCGTCTATCGAGATTTAAAAGTAAGGATATTTTTCTATTCATTTCTGATTTAATATTTTTACTTTTTAGCCCGAAAATCTTCTATTAGATGAGAGAGGTTACTGTAAATTAGTAAGTCATTTTAAATATATATTCAAAAAATTTATTTTACATATAATATTCTTAGGTTGATTTTGGTTTTGCTAAAAAAGTGGGTCTTGGTAAAAAAACATGGACATTTTGTGGTACACCTGGTATAAAAATAATCTTTCTTTTTTTCGTTTTTTTACTAATACTTAATATTTATTTAGAATATGTTGCTCCAGAAGTTATATTAAATAAAGGTCATGATATGGCTGCTGATTGTTGGTCACTTGGTATTCTTATTTTCGAATTAATTAATGGAAAGTATGTAGTTACTTATAAAATATATATATATATTAAATTTTATTCAATAATAATTTAAGTCCGCCATTCTCTGGTCCAGATCCAATGAAAACATATAATGTTATACTGAAAGGTATTGATGCTATTGAATTTCCTCGTCGAGTTTCAAAAATAGCTGGATCGTTAATCAAACGATTATGCCGGTATGTACATATATATCGAAGGAAAATAAATTTACTATTATTATTTATAGAGAAAATCCAGTTGAACGTATTGGATATCAAAAAGATGGTATAAAAGATATTCAAAAACATCAGTAATTTGATTTGATCTTTCTCTATTGTATTATTAACTTATTTTCATTGTAGATGGTTCGAAGGTTTTAGTTGGGATAGTTTAAAAAATGGAACATTAGCAGCACCACATGTTCCAAAAGTAAAATTTTGTTATTGTAAATTTAATAATTTGTAATTCTTATAGGTTGACCATGATGCGGATACATCAAATTTTGATGAATTTCCTGAGGATGATTCTCCTGAACCTGAAGATGATTTAACCGGTTGGGATAAAGATTTTTGATAAGAGAATTCTTGCTTCCAAAAAAAAATTAATATATTTTGCTTGTATATTATTTATTTTTTTCTTTTGCTTGTTTTTCTAATACTAATCTGTTTCTGTTGTAAAAAAACCAGCAAATATATTTTTTTCTTTTTCTTCTTCTTCTTTAGAATTACTCTTCAGTTGCTTGTGGAAATTGTAATATATATTTTTTTTTGGTCAAGCTTTTTCTAGTTATCTATTAGATGAATACAATATTGTTCTTAGTTTTCAATTGATTGATTATTTTTTTTAATGTATAAAAAAACAAAGGCAAAAAAAATTCTTTTGAACAAAATGTAAGAGCAAAGTCTGAATTATAAATTTTGTATCAGACACATTTTCTCAGAACGAATCTGAGAAGGAGAAAAAATTAAAAACTCCTTGCAACTTGAAAATTCTGTATCTCTCAATTATTTCGAGTTACATATATTGAACTTGAACAAAAATTACACTAAAATGTAGCGCATCAAACACTCTATCGATCCGTTCTTGACCCTCCAATCAAAAAAGTTTTAAACGTGAAGTTTTTGTAAAATAGGGTTTTTTGCGTTATTTGTTCGAAATATGTCCGCTTGTAGAAGTTCTGCAGAAAAAAAATAGTTCAAAACAAGTTTTTTTTCATTGTAAAATAGCCGGGTGGTAAGAATGGGCAAGTTCTTCAGTTTTCTATAGAAAATGCTATATTTTGGTATAAAAACCAAGAATAAATTTAACTTCGAATACATCATTTGAAAGAGCACTTTTTATGCTACAGAAATTATTATTTAACGTATTTTCTCATTTCTCTTCTGATGCAAAAAGGCTAATAGAAAATAATGTCGGTCGATGGTAAAGTTCCAAGGAGTTTTTGACTTTTTCTCCTCCTCAGGTTCGTTCTGAGAAAATGTGTCTGGCACAAAATTTGTAGTGCCGACTTTGCTCTTTCTAACAAAAAAAATTTAATTGATTTAGAAGTCGGCAAGATGGTCTAAGACTTTTGCGTCGCATATTATTCTCCAGTATGAAAGAAGATATCATAATAGATAACATGACTTGTGATGTGCAAGTTTTCGCGACAAACTCTACTTGAAAACTGTAATCATCTGTTTTTGATGGCTCTAATAGGTACTCTGAACTGTGCTGAGCCGACTGGCGATGCTCAAGAGGAAAAAAAGTACATAATCTAATCTATAAACAAGTTTTCAACAATGAATAATTATAAAAGAATATACTCGATTTATATTATACATAAATCATGTTTATTGTATATTTCAGGTTGGAATAAAAAGGCTATAAATCAAGCATTATGTATTTTTCCCCTATTTCTTTCTATATGATAAACAAAACAAAATATCCTTTTATCCATCAATAATATATCATTGATTTATTTTTCTAGTTGATTCTGTATATTTAGAATCTCTGTTTATCACTTCATAATCCATTTATGCAACAATCTTTTCTGTATATCTATTACTGCTTTACGCAATATACACACAATGACTATCAAATAACCTATTTGACACTTCTATATATGCTTAATTTACATATTATAACGTAAAAGGATTTTAAAGAATGAATCTATTGAATAAGAAAAGATTATCACTTGAACAAAAAAAACGTTTTCTTTTTGATCTTATAACAAAAAAAGAAAAGTCTTAATATCTCATTTCTGATTTTTATTATTAAGCTTTTATGATTAGTTCGTAAACAGAATTTAACCTTGTATAAAAATGTATTTCATACATAGGTGATAAATAATGTTTGATCGATTGATTTCATACATGTAGAAATAATAATAAAGAGAAGAAAAGTCATTTTTATTTTCGAGTGAACTTCTAATCAATAGTGTCAAATTTCTTCCTACTTCAAAGTTTGATTATCGTCACTATTCTTTTGCCTCCATCTCATTAGCTCACACAGCAGGAAGAAAAGAACATTGACGTAACTCCCCATATTGTTCTGGTTTTCGCCTTCATCATCATCATCATTCTCGTTATCCAGTGACAGACAACTTCCGTCCGTAAAGTATGTTTATATCTGCGTTCAAAACAGAATTAATCGATCGTATAGCACATACACATATACATACAACGAAACAGGCGTCTCCTCTTATTCACATATAAACATAAACTAACTGATGAAAAGTTTGTAATAAGATAGAGTCATTATCGACTGTCGAATATGAACAAAAAGATTTATGATATGCCTACGTGCTTATTATTCTGTTCAGTTCTAATTAGCATTTATCAAATAGATTCCTTTGACCTTTCATAAATGTACACTGCATGAAATCAGGTGGTTGTGTATCATTTAAGAACAAAAAAAAGGGCAAATTAACTATGTCTATCCCCTATTTGTTATTTCAGCTTGTTCATGTCTCGAGATTTTACTATTGTGTTCGTATATTAATCGAAAAGTTTTTAAGTCTAAGGAGCGGCAGTGCGGATCAATGCATTCTATGAATACCAATAATTCCCTCGATGAAATGAATGAAAGCCGGTGATTTGCATGTCGTCACTTTTTTCTTTCTCTCTCTCTCTCTCTCTACTGCGATAAAGCAAAAAGCATTTAACACGTTAATCGACATTTAAGTATGTTGTTGGTTGTCACTTGACCAAACACATATGCATCTGGATAGTATATAAAGGTAGAACGAAAAAGATAATAGATCATCAGTTTGAAAAGATATGTCGTCAGATTATAGTTGAAAAAAAAACTCATTGACCTTTTCATTAGATAGTAAAGAAGTTGTTACGATAAGTTATGTCACCTTCTTTGACAATGATCGATTCTTCGTATAAGGCGTGTTTAGCATCTTTTTCTACTATATATATATGAGAATGACCGATATAAAAAAGAATGTTTGTATTGGTTGTCATATATATAATTAGAATAAGAAAAAAAAAGACTATAATATATACATCAATGTGCGTCAATCGCGTTTATTTTTAGTGTAAAGGTCGTTTGCAACATATTTGTATTTATTTACGTGTTCGAATAAAAATCTGTTATAGATATAAGAGTCACTTTTTTTTTATCGATCATCTTATGAGCTATAGAAAGAACTATCTTTCTCTCTATAGAGAACAAAACAAGAGAGGAAAAATCTATTTGTCTCAAGAGAGATAGAGTGAAGGCGATACTAATGATAAGAATGAGAAGCTTTTTTTTGCTCCCTCTCCCTCTCCCTCTTTCGTTCTCTCTTAATAGAATATGCGTGCTGATTGTATGTATACACTTTTTGTGCATATGCGAAGTGTATATATATACATTGTTCTTTCGGTCTCGTTTAGAAATTAATGATAACCTTGTATAACTCTTAACAGTAAGTCGAGAGGATCTAATCATTGATAAAATTTTAAACTTTTTTTGACTTAATATAAACCTATAATCTATTCTATATATGTATATCCTTCTGTTCATTGTTTGTTTTCACTTTAGATCTCTTTTTTCTATGTACAAATATTTGTTTGCATGTTCTTGTTTCTCCCTCTCTCTCTCTCATTCAACTCTAGACAAATGTAAAGTGATATGAGTCGATGAATGTATGTCTTACTCATTCGTTTTGTCCTATTATCTGTCCCTATACATTGTTTTTCTTTTAACCTAAAAAGATTCGACAGCTGTCAAGTCCGTATAATAAATATGGATGAGAATTTAACCATCACTTAAATTCAAGTGATCATCATCGTCAGGTATAAGCAATTTCTTTTTTGAGTGACAGATCTTTAATGTACAAACGCTATGGGGGTATACGAACAACTAGTTAGTTCTGATAATTTCAATCGTAAATGCATTAGCACGAATATGTTGAAACAAAGGAAGTGTGCGTGTGTGTATATGTGCGGCAGTTTGAAGTTGAATAAATAATTGTCTCAGGTATTTGAACCAATCATTACTAAGACAAATATGTTCATCATCATCTTCTTCTGCTTCGGCAGAGGCACCTAATGCGATTATCGCTACTGCACACATATTACTGATAGATTTATCATCATCAGCGACAAGCTTTTCTGAACCAGTCAGTCATTTATCTACTCGTTACACTTCGCCCTAAGCAAAGACAAACATTGATTGTATATGTTGCAGATGAATGGATGTTATCATTACCTACTGTTACTGAGCTTACTCAGTTCATTAGAGAAAACTATTTCAATCAGTCTACCAAATGTAACAATTCAACATGTGTGTGAACATGATGTACTTTTTCTAAAATGTCCAAATATAAATGAAACAATTCAAATTATACGTTCCATGTATGGACGTACATCACAACGTATATGTAATTATGATTTGTCTAATCAAGCTCTTTATAAAACATGTGCAAATATTGAACAGTCAAAACATCAAACACAACTTCGGTAAGTGAATAGTTTTTCATTAAATTGAAAAAAAAACTAAATTTAATTTAACTCTTTAGATGTCAAAAAAAATCGACATGTCAAATTCTTATAGATAATACTCTTTATAATGATCCATGTGGATTAACAATACCAAAACATTTTGAAATACATTATCGTTGTATAAATTATGATGATATATGTTTTCAACTCTTTCTTAATTGCTCAAAAACTAAAGATTTAAAATGTATTAAAAAAATTCAAGATGATTATTCGTGTCAATGTCCATCAACAATATGTGAATATAATTCTAATAATCAATTAAGTGGTTTTATTGAAACGAGATGTTTATCAGAACATTTTCAAGGAATTCATTGGCCAAAAACACTTGTTAATAAAGGCCAACATATGCCTTGTCCTTATCCATGTACTGGTATGATATATATATTAACATATTTATCTTACTTACATCATAATGGAATTTAAATTGATTATAGGTCAAATATTTCGTTTTTGTCATATGAATAGTCAATGGTCATCACCGAATTATACAAATTGTGAATGTCCGATAAATAATTTTGATCAAGTAATTCGATCTTTACAAGTCTATTCCTCTTTTTCTATGTCTTATTGTCTATTTTGATTAGTCATCAATGCATCGTTTAGCTCATAGCTATATCTTTCAATGTAATTTTTGGTTAATTAATAGACTTTTGCCTCAGGATAATCAATGCATTTTTGTATGTAGAATTTTTTTTTCTTCTCCTCAACATTTAATAGATTTTCTTCTTATTATTTAGGGAATTGATGATAATGATAATAGTTCATCTACTTGTCTTTTCCGTGCTTTTGAAAAGATGTCATTTACATCCTGTTTATCATTTAGTATTGATTTTAAAAATCTAGGTTTGTTGAATTATTTAATTTTATTCGATGAATTAATTTTTAATTTAGGTTTTGAAATATTTATACCTATGAATAATCAAAATAGATTTTATTTACCAACAATTAATTCAGAAAAATTTGGTTTAAATCAAATAATTGTTGAGAAAAATGAAAATACATATACAAAATTACCTATGATGTTTATTGATACGAAAAGTTTTAGTTCATCAATAACATCAGTGATTTTAGTTGAACAATCAATGAATTTAACTTCAATACAAACAGCAAATGTGACAGTTATATTTAATCATCAAGTTCGTAAAAAAAAGGATTTTATCAGAGGAAAATTCGAACTTTATTATATACATTAATAGACTAGTTGACTTTATAAGAACAGCTACTTAATATGACATTTATATATATATACTAGATTAAGACTATATAAACTAAGGACGTCAATCGATTGTTAATTATATATGATTTTTAAAAAATTGACCGTGAAAAGACAGATTACATTCTATTTCTGACGTAACAAATAAATCAAGGTTTATTAGAACTTTGAATCCTTGATTTTTCTTACATTAAATAGTACTTTGTCTGTTCGCCGACAACATCAATTCCTAAGGTTATTCATTTAACAGATCTGAGTTTTTTTTTCTGGAAGACAATATCTATATTATCAAAACTTGTTTTTCTCTATAATAGAATTATTTCTATATTAAGAAGTTTTATTAGTTATATGACGATTGATAATTGAATAGACAAAATTTATCTTATGCATCAGATATTTTTATTGAACTAAAATTAAAATTTTTTCATTGTAAATATATCGCCTTTAAGGTCATCTGTTATTGGCATATCAAAGAAACATTTCTCATCTTAATATTATTATTACACGAGTGGAAAAATGTCAAAGAAAAGACATCATTATCATATGTACACGGAATATGATACTTATATATAGTCGGAAGTTGTAACGGAATTAGGGAGGAAAAAGATTTTGATAACGAGCTAACTAACATGTTACGTCAATTTTGACACTTATGTCACAAGTTTTAGACTAAACACACTCGGATATTCAACTTTAGTAGCCTTCGATTGTTTCAAACAAGAAAAATAAACGATAATTATATCGACACTTGCATAACCTATGCATTATTATTATATCATAGATAAAATTCTGATAATGATTCATTGTTTTTTTACATAATAGAAAATTACTTTAGTTTAATTAACTATTTGATTTTCTTTTAGTCATCTGAATTACGTTATCAATGTCGTGCATATCGTTCAACAAATTTATCATTTCAATTCGAGTACATATATTTCATAATAATTATTTATACATTGTCTCTCATCTTTTTCATTGATCTAGTTCATCAGATATGTTTTTTGCATGTCAATTATTATGTTCAAATGGTAGTCATACTATTTGTCAATGTCCATTTTACAATCCATTTATGCGTTATGTATTACATCTTGATGTAATAAGATCTTTATTGATAATATATATATATATGTATATAACTATTGTTTTTCTTAGACATCAATACCTCAAGATGATTTTGAATTATTAATGATTGATAATGATTTAAAAGATAAATGTTTAATAAATCATATGAACAAATCAATTGAAAAATCAATGTATAAAATAAATAATTATTTAAATAAATTTTCATCATTTACTCAAAAGACAAATTTAGCAAAAGTTTGATTTAACTAAATATTTAATTCATAATTTAAATATTTTTGTATTTCGTAGAAACTCATTTCATTTATTGATAATTTAATTGATAATGAAGATGAATGGAGAAATGCAACATGGAATATGACAATTCAATTGATTCAAAATGTCGAATCTATTGGTTTACAATTAATTGATTTATCAAATCCATTTATTTCAATTAATAATCATATTGGTAATAAAAAAATACTCGAACTAAACTGAGCAGAATTTTTTTTGATTTTTTAGAATTATTTGTTAATTCTCAACAATTTGAAAATACCGATCGTTCGATAATAATTCTATCGGATGAAAAACTCAATTGGACATTTTTTACTATTTCGAAATTAGATAAATATTTAAAGAAGTATCAATTAAATAGTCATATTGTTAATCTAAATATGAAACAAATGCCTAAGAAAGAGATTCAAATAGTCTTTCGACATTTGGTAAGAAGAATAATAAATAAAAAATTGAAAATTAAAGTTTATTTTACATAGAATCAATTGAATATTTCTAATCAAATATCAACTTGTGTTTATTTAAAACATATTCCAAAGTATGTAGAAAAGAAATTTGACAAAAAAGAAAGGATTATTCATATGTGTTTTAATAGTAGTGATAGCCAATGGAGTACAGATGGATGTTATTTATTATCATCGAATATAACTCATTCAATATGTTCATGTAATCATTTATCAACATTTGCAGTTTTAATAAATTTTCAAGAAATTATTGGAAAAGTTTGTTTGATTTATTTTATCGAAAAAAAATTATTTTTCAAATCTTTTCATTTAGTTATCAGTGAATATACATGAATATCGACTATCGATTATATCAAAAATCGGAAGTGTAATATCGATTATTAGTTTAATATTAACAATTATTACATTAATAATAAGGTAATTATTCATTTAGAGATTAAACTATCATCAATTTTGAAACAATGTTAATACAATTTTTATTTGATATACGAGAAAAAAATAGACACTTGGAAATATAAGGAATTCAAATTAACTCTGTCAAGGACCTATCAGATTTTTGAGCATTGCGATTAGGGTGGGTGTGGATATTACATATTGATATTGTCCCTACGCTCCACCCTCAACTGACTATGCCTATACTTTATCAATATATAGTGAAATGTACCAGAATTTTCTATGATCATGGTTGTCGCGAATTAGGGAAGGGAATTGATCTCCCTCCCAAAGTTTTAGTTTTGATTGAATATTCTGCCTCCTCCCCAAGAGGGAAGCGACGTACTCCGCTGTACTCCGGAAGTAGATGGGAGTACAGCAGAGTACCGAAGTACGTGGTTTCTCCCTTGCTCACTCCACACCCCACACTCTAGTGTACTCCGCAAGTACTCAGAGTACGGAAGTGCGTGGTTTCCCCTTGCTCCTCCCTCAATTCTAAAATGTTCGCGACACCCTGCCTATCATTAATGAAATTTATTAGAATTTCGTACAAACTACCAAGTTTTATAATAACCAAATATATGTTATTTCTTAATTTTGTTTAGACGTCGTATGGATATTAATGATGATTTAATGATTGTTCGTACTATTCTTCATATAAATATGTCCATTTGTTTATTAATTGCTCAATTTTTATTTCTATTTGGTATTGATCAAATACAAAATAAGGTAAAAAGAATTATATTCTTTCGAAATTTTCATTTTTCATTTATATATATATATAAATAGTTTGATTGTCGAACAATTATTATTTTATTTCATTATTTTCTTCTTGCAACATTATCATGGATGTTTGTCGATGGAATTGAATTAATAATTGCATTAAAACATGATTTTAAAATAGATCGTATAAGAATATTAGCTTATTCAATATATGCATATGGATTTCCATTACTTATTGTTATTCTTTCAATTTCTCTTTCATCTCATGGATTGGATACAAGTAAATAGTACGTATTAACAATTAATTTTAGCTTATATCAATATTTGATATTTTTAATCCAACTAATTACGTTTGTTCTCATTGTCTTACTTTGTAAATGAAAAAGAACTATTTCGTATACAACCAGATTTTTTTCGTGATTCCTGTTGCTCTGAGACAAGCTGAACTGCCCCTAAGCTTTTTTCTGATTGCCAAAATTTTAGTGTTAATGGACTGTGTACATTCGGTGATTTAGAGTGAAACGGAAAACTATCGAGTCGATTAGCACAATGGCATTGAGGTGTTATCTCAGGAGTAAATGTCTTTTACCTTCTGCTAATGTTCGAAAGTGTAACTATACATGTCATCGAATTGCCAAGCTCATTATACAGAAGTAAAACTGAGCCTATGCATAACCTTCGTAATAGAATTTTGTATTAAAACAAACATTTCTATTCTAGCTGCTGGTTTTCGTATGAGAATGCATTTATATGGGCATTTGCAATTCCATTTGTTCTTCTTATCTTTGTAAGTTTTTTCAAATATTTTTCAAATACATATTATTTTTTTTCTTAAGGCTAATATTAGTTTTTTCATAATATCAATTTATACAATATGTAAACATCGTAACACTTCTAATTCATATCAAGGAATTCGGTAAATTAAATAGAATCTTGATTGTATCTCTAAATATATTTTTATTTTTTAAAAAAAAACAGATTTTCTTTACGTGATATATCCATATTATCAATATTATTTGGTTTAACATGGTTAATAGGTTTATTTCATCTTCAACAACAAACTTTGCTTATATTTTCATATGGATTTACAATATTAAATTCATTTCAAGGTTTATTCATATTTATATTTTATTGTCTATTACAAAAACAAATTCAACATTTTTATATTCATCGTATTTCAAATATATATAAGAAAACAACTACTCAAGAAGATAAACCAACACAACATTATAATGCAAGTAGTAGTGGTTATAGTTCAGCACATTCATCGGAATTAAATAAACAAATTTTATCGTTAGATCATCAAACATCGTTTGGTACAAATACAGAATATTTATCAAGTATGCCTAATAGTTTATTAAGTACATTTCGTTATCCAACATCAAATATAACATTACCACCTGAACATAATGAACAATTATTAAAAAAATATAAACATGATTTACATCATCATGATGATCATCAGTATTATGAAATTAGTTAATAGTTTCTCTCTTTTTCTTTTTGTATTTGTCTCCGGTGTTTTTTGTTTATATATGAATAAATCTAAAGAGCGTACAGAAAAAATTTATTAGAATATTTTTTTTATTTTACAATAATTAGACATAGTATGGCAAGATTAAATATAGAGTTTATTATATACTGTCACGAACCATTATAGCCGATTGTGTTTGTTGACGTGAACCGCTATTGGGTAAATTTGAAAGATTTTTATGAATAAGATAAGTACTAGATACTTTTGAAGCTTGCCGTTGTTCTTGAATATTTGGATGGATACATTTAATATGTGAAGCTATTTGTTCACGAAATCCATTTAATGATATTGCGTATATTATTGGATTAATACAAGCAGCAACTTTTGTTAGCATACCGAGTAGTGATGTGGTATAAGCATTTATTAAATGATTAAAACCAAATAAAGAAATTAATGCCATAAGAGCATAAGGTCCCCATGCTAAACAGAATACAGTACATATAAGTAATACTGTACGTGTAGCACGATGTTCTGTACGACGCATTTGTTGAATAATATGATTTTCATCATTCGAATCAAAAACTAATGGTGTTACACGGCAATGCTCAATTTCATTTGTTGGATTTAAATCATTAAAATTATATATAGTAGGATCTTTTTTTCCATTCTCAGTTTGTAAGATTAAAGCACAACTACGTTGAGATAATTTCATGAGAATAGAAGAATATGAAAGTACTATTATTGATAGCGGAATTAAAAAGCCACCGGTTACTAATATTAAAATAAATAAACGATCATATAAATCTTTTGATACATAATCAAAGGTACATGATGTACCGAAACCTTCTAATATAAAACGATTCCAACCAAATAATGGTGGTAAGATCCAAATTGAACCATATATCCATGCACATACAAGATAACCTATTAATTAGAAATAGTAGTTATTAATTAAAAGAATTCTAGAAATAAACTAACGTAGTGTCGAACGAGCACTGAGTTTAAGTGAACTAAATGGATCATTAACAGCTGATAAACGATTTAATGAAATAAGTGCCATTGTCGCAATTGATGTTAAACCAAAGATACCACCACAAACAGAATAAAAATTGCAACCTAAAAAAAATATTCTTGTATGTCATCCGGTTCAAATTTTACATTATTAACGTATACTGTATGTACTAAGTAATTATTCTCTGCTATTAATATTGGATAGCTTTTATGAAAGTACATAATTACATTTTAACAATTCTTAAAATAGTAATAATTTCTGGTTCTATTATCGTTCATGGCTAATAATAACGAGTGAGAAATGAATAGAACTAAATTTATACTCGTAAAATATAGAACAATGTATTTATATACCTTTTTGTCCGAATACCCATTGTTTTTTAAATGATGATATAACATGTTGAGAATTGTTTGTTAATAATAACCCAAGATCAGTAATAGCAAGATTAATAAGAAAATAATTTCTTGGCCTTTGTAAAACCTCATTTCTATAATAGAAATAAAATTTATATTATGTTTAGTTTTCATTTTTTTTCAAATTTTACTTAATAAATACTAATATAACTAAACCATTACATACGATACCAATTATTAAACATAGAAGTGAAACAATACCGGATGCATAATGCCATACAGCTGGAACCATTGCTGTTTGATTGGCATACCAGAAACGATCGACGTTCATTTTGTCAATTAAATGAATACTGATATATAAATAAAAAACAGTTATTGTCACTTAAAATCTTATTATTTTTTTAATCAGCTTAAGATATAAAGTTTAATCTTCTAGGAAAAATAAAAGTCACACAGTCTACTAAAACTATTTTCTTGCCTTGCCTTTTATATATATTAAAAACTAAAAAAAAGGACCTAGAGCGGAAGTCAGTCTCGATGCGTATTGCGTTTCAATTATATTGTTATAAAGGCATGTACTAAGTATATAAAATGATACAACATTCGGTAGAGAAAATCATGAAAGACAAAAATAAAATATAACAATATCTCAAAAGTATTCATTAACATATCACGCGATGTAATACAATTTTTTTTTATGATGATATATTGTTTTCATTAAGAAATGCTACGTATATTTATTTTAAAAACTAAGACAAAATCAAATTTATTAATAAATATGAACTGTTTGACATGACTATTTTTTTTATATATACTCACTTCTTTTATTCTCTTGTCTTTAATCAAAATGAACAACATTCAAGAAGGAAAAGAACGATAGAATAAATTACTTTATGGAAAGCTTTTATATAGACATCTGTATTTCTGAATTAATTATTAATTTCTTATTACTAATCATGTTCGTGTTTAAACCATGAAGATATATTGCATCTTTTTTTTCTTAAAGAAAATATTGTTGAACTTACGATATGTGTTGATTATGAGAAATGAAAACTGATTATTTGTATTAGAACGTGTCTTAATAATAAACAACTTTCTTTGAAGAAAATATAAGTGGGTGAACTAAGTAAAGATAAATAAAGTTATTAACAGTGGTACTTCTCCTATGAGTGATTATAGTCGAGCGTTTTTTTGATCTCTCTCAGATTCAACTAAATTTTCAGATCATATCATATGGAAAATTTCAAAAAATCTAGTCTCTGTTTTTTTTT